TTGGCTTATGGTCTAGAAGACGTAATCTCCATTAAATTTTCAAAGTGATCCGTTGTCTGGTTCACCAGAAACGTCTAATGTGCCATCCACCGTGAATCAGCCTGTATAGTGTCATCCCCAAAGTATGCACCATATGGGAAACTTATTTATTGAAGGTTTTTCGACAAAAAGTTATTCTTGATAAAAGTTTGCGCATTCCCTAAAACTAAACATGTGCCAAAGAAATTCAGTAAAACACACGTAATATACGAGGGGCCTTCAAATATTTGATTGTGAGACAGAAGCAAAGTACTCTTATTTTGAAAAATCTCTGAAAATGTTATTCAGAAAAGTTGTTCAGCTTTGAAAAATACATCTAGATTTGAAGTCATGACCATCCAAGCGAAGTTTATTTTTCTACCCATTTTTTTAAAATGGGGACTACGAAAAAAAAAATTTGCTAAAACGATAAATAGACAGCATCCTGTATACGATGCTTTATTTCAAAAGCCTGCAATATTACAAATGACACAACGATGGTTAACCATGGTCAATTTTTTTGAAGAGTAAAATAAAGTCAAAAACCTTTGGAATATTCTGCAAAATCAATCGCCAAGGATACACTAAACATATTCATATAAGACATTTTCTTATAAGGGAACTGGTCTTAAATGAATGTATTTCAATTCAGGGCACCAAATAGCAGACACACTTACCAAACTGGTGTTCAAGCCAAGATTGAACATTTGACGACAAACAATGAGCTTTAACAAATTATTCGTTGAGAGGGTGTTGAAAAACAACCATTTTCATAATTTGTTTATATTCACATCGTAAATGTTTATGAGTAGTTAATAGATTTTGACGTAATAAAAATGTGAGTTAAGCCGTCTCAAATGAAAACATTCATTCAAAAATTTACTTGAGATATTTTCTCTACTTCAACAAATAATAAAAAACAAGTTAGGAAAAAACTGCTATGCACTGAAATTTGTATTACACCATTGTCATAAAAATTTCTAGTGACTATTAATTATACCAATATTAACTGCCATTTGTGATATGACAATCTTCACAATCAGAATTGTCAATGAATACTACTGGAGTTTTTTCCCAACACCAAACCGTTATTTCAACACCTCGACACGTGTTTCGATCACAAAGTGATCATCTTCAAAAGGAAGATTAAACTTCCAGTTGAATCCTTTGTTTATAAAACACAACCTTCTGATATTGAAGAACTTAAAAGACGAATTACAGCAGTATGCCAGTCAATTCCTAATAAAGTTTCCGTAATGCTAGAGGAGAGTTCGAAAAAAGCAGTTCGAAACAACTGTTTAGATCAAAATGGACATTTCGAATATTTTACAAGATAAGCGTAAGTAGATTTTATGTTTGAAATGTGTTTCTCGCAAATAAAATTTTATTTTGTAAATTTGTATTTTGTATTTTGCAAAGGGGAGTGCTTTAAGCACCTTCATCGGACCTGTCATTGGCATCGCTTAAGGCTTTGCCAAACAAAGATTGAACACGTGGATGGCAAGATGATTTAAGGACTTCTGGCAGAATTTTCCAGGATTGGCTTACTCCAAGGCTTTTATGCCTCGCGTAACACCTACATTTATTCCTCTCATTCAAGGGTGGGAACAGTGCTATCTACTCTTCTAAACATTTTTACTAAAAGGAGTAAGGAGTCAATACAATAATGAATCTCAGAACAGGCAGGTTCTAATTACATGCGTAAGTTTACAACGCTATTTTTCGAAAAATGCTCATCAAAAAATAAAACGTTAGGGTATCATTGATAGCATAATTGAACGCCAATCAAAATGATGTGTCACTTGACACTCCTCCCCATTTAAGATTTTAAGGGTAACATCTACCCCTTCTTGGGGGTTGAACCACGAGGGCTACAAATATCCCTTGAAAGTTTCCTCATTGACTAGAAAAATGGCCTGTTTTTTCAATTCTCCATATTATTTACTGGAGGGAAGATATTAAGAGTGAGAAGTTTTCAAATTAACACCCTGTATATAAAATTCAATAGAGATTTTTATGCGTGATAAAGTCATCGTGGTACATTTCTCAATATTGAAAAATAATTTATGACAGTTACCTAATTGTCATCTTGGCAAGGTCCACTTCGGGAAGCGTAGCTTGTAATATCCTCCAAAGCACGATAGACGTTGTTCACAGTTGGTGCCTGAAGGAGTAGATATCTGTCAACTCCAGCAGAACTGTGATTATTCCCTTCATCAGAAGGAGAAAATTGGACGATTTAACGCCACTTTCCCTCAATGGTGAGGCCATTCCATTTGAAACGGAGGTGAAATATCTTGACATTGTCCTTGATGAAAAATTCACCTGGAAAGCTCATTCGAAAAAACTTTTACACAAAGTCAGACTGTCCCTATGGACATGTCGAAGGATTTGTGGTAAAACTTTGGGTGTAGGTCCCAAACAAATCCATTGGATTTATGTGATGATTGTCAGACCAATGATTACTTATGGTGCAATTGCCTGATTGCCGAAGGCTTTACAGAAAACGGCTCAGGTGAAGGCTCTCTCGCTTACAGAGACAAGCTTGTCCGGTCATCAGTG